CATTGATAAAAACCTTTAGATCATAAAGTTACAGAGTTATCTCTTCCTTTAGGTGTCAGCTGTGAAGAACTCACTCCAGTAAAGGATGAAGAGTCCAGTTTAGAAGAGAGCACTGTAACTCTGTCCTACACATACAACAAACAAGCAACTGGTAGTGATTATTTCTTCTGGTATCGACAATATCCAGGGAAAACCACCAGAGTTCCTCATCTCTCACTCTGGTTCAGGAAATGTAGGACAGGAACAAATCCCTGGACTGAAGATTAAAGTGGAGCAAAACCAAATAGATATGAACATCTCCTCTGCTGCAGTGACAGACTCTGCTGTGTACTACTGTGCTCTGCAGCCCACAGTGACAGGAAACACCAAAACTCTGTACAAAAACCTGACAGCTCCTCACTGAAGATTTACACACTCCAGCTTCTGCTTTTACTGAACAACAGCCCCATCAAGTGGACACTGATAATAAGATCCAGTGATAAAATAAATAGTTATTCAGTTAACAGTCTGTCTTAAAACAACATTCACATGTTCATATGTACATTAAAACATGATTCTTTCTGTAATCATTCCTCCTGTTCATACTGGTCTTTAGAATATATTTTCCTGATGTCAATTCCATCCTAGTGATGGGGGACAAAACCCAGTCCTCGTTCTGTACAGAAATATATTCCAAAGTTCAGTTCAAGGTAATATGATGATTCAGCAGTCTGAGTTACACAAAAAAGATACGATCCAAATCTTTTTGTGCAGAGGCAATTTTATGTTAAAAAGTCTTAAACTTTAGAAGAAACCCACTGGATCTCACTGTGGAAGTCTCATATTAACTTCAACTGTGTCTTCAGTTGAAGGGAATCCACCATCCTCTGTGAACCATGAACATCTGGATAAAAGCTCATGACAATCCATTCAGCAGTTTCTGAGATATTTCACTGCTGAATATAAATGAGACGTAAATGTTGAGAGTTCCTCAACAGATGATAAAGAGGAAGGACCAATGATGTGAAGGCCCAGATCCATCAGAGTATCAATGTTCTTCCTCTCTCTCCTCCCCTCTCACTGCAGACATGAAACACTGGCTGAGAAACATCCTGATTCTGACTCTCTGGCTAGGTAACTCTTTAAACCTACTGATTGTTCTCCTTTAATCAATCATCTTTATTGATTCATCTCTTCCTCTGCATGTTCTCTTCTTCCCCAGAGTGTAAAGGAGAAGACAGAGTGACCCAGCTACCAGGAGATGTCATTGCTACTGAGGGAGAGACAGTTACACTTGGATGTACATTTGAGACCAGTGACAGCTTCCCCTATTTGTTCTGGTACAAACAGGATGGAATTGATTCCCCCAAAGTTCATGCTGAAACGTTTCTCAGATTCATCAGAAAATGCTGCTCAGTTTAAGAAAGACCGATTTAATGCTACAATCAAGAATAAGTCAGTTCCTCTGAAGATCCAGAAGCTTCAGCTGTCTGACTCTGCTGTGTACTACTGTGCTCTGCAGCCCACAGTGACAGGAAACACCAAAACTCTGTACAAAAACCTTTGGAGCAAAGACAACAGAATACTCCACAACATCCACTAGAGGGAGTCACACACTGTTAAACTACAGTGCTATGTGATAATAGGGTCTGACAGGACTGAGATGTAAAGCTTTAGAAATTAAACTACTGACACTGCATTGTAAATTAAATTTCATCCAGATAACCAAGGTAACACCAAAATAAAAAGGATTATACCTTTCAGATATAATAAAGCACACTTCTGTATGAAGCAGTAATGATACGGCACAAAATAAGTGAAATGTTATACATAAAGTCACTTTAACATGTGTGTAACATTTCATAAAATTGTATCAACAATTATTGTTACATATGTAAGTGTTGTAGATACAGGTCATAGGTCTGTACTCTTTTTCTGATTCATATAATACTAACAATCATGACATTAATAACTTAATTTTATTTATTTTAGTTTGAGCGAGTCCAATAATTCGACACTAATTGTCTTTCAGAGACAGGTAATAAAGATTTGATCGAGTACATTTTGACAATAATACTGAGTTACAGAGGACAGGGCAGATACAGGACAGAGGCCATGTTTAACAATTAGGACCTCTCATTTTTATTATCTTGCTTCTTCTCTCAGGTCTTGCAGGTTGATCAGTAATTTAGTGGTTTGAGTTCATGACTCAAGATGATGCAATCTGTGCTTAGTCAAAGGTTTGCATCCCGACCATGGAAAACTTTAAGAAAACTGTCTCAAACTTTCTGAGCGAGTTTGACATTAGGTCTACGAAATGTTCCAGATCTTTTCCAAATTATTAATTGTATTCAGCTGTTATGCACACTCAAACACATTTTAAACCCATTTTAAATTTTGATTGTTTTGCTGAAAATGTGTGGTTATATATTTCATTATACTCCAGTAATTATGGTAGCAGCTTTATTATTATTATTATTATTATTATTATTATTATTATTATTATTATTATTACTATTATGTCTAAAGTGCTGCTGTTTCAGACCTTTATACAACTAGTCTAGTCTAGAACTGACATGTGTTTGTTTTCACTGAAATCCTGAGAACCGTATAAAATACAACCTTGCTTAGCTTTCTCTTGAAATTAAAACAACAGTACAGTATTAGTCTGGGTATAATATTTTACACTGAGCTTCCCTTTCATCATCAGCTGACTAAAGTTGTACATTGATGAAATAATGTTTCATTTTCCTTTTCTTTGAATGTGATAGAAGCAAAACATCTTCCTATAAAAAATACATTTTGTAGGTAATCTATTTTTTAAGTACCCATGATGTAATTTTTCCTCAAATGTGACATTAATGTAATAATGTGGATAATATTGTTTGTGTAAAGTATTTAATAAGTAATGAATATGGTTGTCATGTGTAAATGAACAGTAGTATATCGTCGGACTAAAAAACTGAACTCAGCCAGGACCTTCACGTGCTGTAAAGTGTCAATCAGTGTGACCTTATCAGCTACTTGTTACCTGATGGAAATGATGGCATTTAGTGAATAACCGCAGCACAGCAGTGACAAACACACTATTTGTCAGAGTTGTGAGAGGAAGGAGGGAGGGATTAAGGGAGGAGCAAAACTGAGACTCAAGTACAGAAAAGACAGAAACTTTCACAGTGGTGTTTCATCCAAAAACAGACAGATTGTCTTTATCTTTAAGATGCTGTCAGTGAACTTCAGTCTGTTTGTGACTTTGTTTCTGCTCACAATAAGAGGTAGGTGAGATCATTAACATTAAAAGAGCTTCATTGATAAAAACCTTTAGATCATAAAGTTACAGAGTTATCTCTTCCTTTAGGTGTCAGCTGTGAAGAACTCACTCCAGTCAAGAAACAAGAGTCCAGATTAGAAGACAGCACTGTTACTCTGTCCTACAAATACTACAAACAAGCTGATAGCAATGATTATTTCTTCTGGTATCGACAATATCCAGGAAAACCACCAGAGTTCCTCATCTTTCACTTGGGAACACAAAATGAAACAACCTCTAGACTGTCAGTTACAGTGAGTGAGGATAAAACCCAAATGGATCTGCAGATCTCCTCTGCTGCAGTGACAGACTCTGCTCTGTACTACTGTGCTGTGAGGCCCACAGTGACAGCAAACCCACAGTCTCTGTACAAAAACACAAGCTGACACACTGACAAGCTGCTGGAAGCCTTTTTTCCACACTGTTGGACTCAACTTTTTAGCTCCACTAGAGGGCGACATTATCAAGTAGGCGGTGCACTACTTCTGCACTGTGTTCAACCATTCTGTCAATAATAACTGCTGCTGTGAAGAGAACAATTGTCACACTGAATGTTGAACATCAGCTAGTTTCTCCTGTTGATTTAAACCTTGTTGTAGAGATGGAACATTGGCTGTGGATTATTCTTGCTGCTCTTTTCTTTGGTAAGATAGAAAGCACAACATGTTTTTATTCTTTTCTAAAGATTGATGGAAACTGGAGTTCAGAGCAGAAATCTCTCAACAGTTGAGCTGTTTCTGTCCACAGAGTAACACTGTACACTTGATATTTTCCACTGTCTTCTCCTCTCAGCCTCATGAACAATGTTAGTCTAATGGCTTCATTTTCTCCACTTTTTCCAGGACTAATAGCTGGAGACACAATCTCTCCTGTAGGAGATAAAGTCAGTGGAAGAGAAGGAGAATCTGTCACACTCAAATGTCAATATCAGACAAATGATGATGTTATTTACCTTCACTGGTACACACATTCTGACTTGCAGGCTCCTCAGTTTATACTCTGGAAAGGAGCAAGATCCAGGAGTGGTAGGAAATACATTCCAGATGAACGATATGAATCTGAAACAACAGATTCATCAACTGAACTGACCATCAGAAAACTAACCCTGGCAGACACAGCTCTCTACTACTGTGCTCTAGAAACACAGTGATACAAAGTGTAGAAGAGGCTGTACAAAAACCTGAACACAGATATCTGACTACTCTTCAAAGAGGAGGGAAGTGGTATTCAAACCACAGCTTCATATCAGATGGATTCTGCTAATTCCTGTTTTATCAGAGTCACTGTGGTTACAGCTGCTAATGAAACACTGTGGGAGGATTCACATGAGCAGCAAATCCACATCAATGACAAACCAACTGGATGATGCTTCAAACACAAGACACCATGGAAACAAATAAACCAACACTGAAAATTAAAATGAGTAATATGTGACATCTGAACAACAACGTGTCTAACATACATACGTTTAAATAAATCAATTTGTGACCTGAATTATGTATCTAAAGTGCATTTATCATACATTGTTTTATTCTTATAACATTACTATTTATTTTCCAACATTTACCAGGTCAGACTGGGTCCAGTATTTTATAGCTCAAATATTCAGTCATATACTGAGCATACAGAGCTGATCTGTTACCAGCTGGGCTGGGTACAGTCTGAATATTTCTCAGCAGAAGTCCACCTTTACAGTTTCTGGTCTTTAACATTTTTATTCAGTTTTGTTTTCCATCTGATTGAACTGCAGTAAATGATGGACTGTTTGTTGATTTGTAATCATATAAGACAGGGCTGTGAATGAGGCCTGTCAGTGTGATCAGGCTCCTCCTTCTAATCCACCAACTTAGTGTTGATGAAGACTAAACAGAGAGATCACAGCCTTCTTTCTACTTGCTGTAGCTCACAGTTACTCAACACTGCAGATATGACGCAGCCTCTGTTCATCTCAGTGTTGCTGGCTGCTCTGTGCCTTGGTATGAACACAACTCTGTTTCTGTGATATCAATCCAACATTGACATGATTCTTTAACAGCACACTGATCCTGTTTGTTGCTGTTTTACAGAATGCAGAGCACAAAGAGACAACGTGCTGCAACCAAAAGGAGATGTGACTGCGACTGAAGGAGAGGAAGTAACACTTGACTGTCAATATAACAGCAGTTCATCAAATGATTATCTCTTCTGGTACAAACAGGATGGAAACAACAGCCCCAAATTCATACTGAGCCGCATTCAACGAGATGAAGGAACCACAGCAGATGAGTTTAAGAAGAGATTTTCATCCACACTGGATTCAACCTCAAGATCAGTTCCTCTGAAGATCCAGAAGCTTCAGCTGTCTGACTCTGCTGTGTACTACTGTGCTCTGCGGCCCACAGTGACAGGAAACACCAAAACTCTGTACAAAAACCTTTGGAGCAAAGACAACAGAATCATCCACTAGAGGGAGTCACACACTGTTAAACTTCAATAGTATCTGATTACATTGTTGAATCACATGGTTGGCAAAACCCTATGTAATAGTTCAAATCCATGGTAGGTACAAATGTGAAGAATAAAAATTAGACCTTTAAGATACAATAAAGTACAATATTCCAATGACTTTTCAAAAATAAATAAAAATGTCACACTGACTCATTTTCTTTTTATATGCTGCCTTGATATTTGGTGTGTAAAAGTGAATGAATGAGTTACTTCCTATTTGATGGACTTTGCATTGAATGTGTGTGAAAGGGTGAATGTGCCATGTAGTGTGAAAGCGCTTTGAGTGGTTGGAAGACTAGAAAGGCGCTATATAAGTACAGGTCCATTTACCATTCTGATAGTTTGGGAGAGAACATCTATGCTGTGGTCTTCTTTCCATGCTGCATCAATAAAGGGACTTGATTCATCACACTGGGTTCCTAATAATAATAATAATAATAATAGTAATAATATTGATACTCCTACATTTAATCTATATAGGGCCTTTCAAGAAACTCAAAGACACTTTACATGAGTTAAAAGGAAAAGAAAAAGGTCATAAATAACAACACACTAAGAAATTATAGCTATATCTACAACAGTCAACAATATATAATTGTTAAAATCATTAAAAGAAGTTCTGAAAAGGTGGGTATTGATCAGTGATTTGAAGTTGGATGGATCAGTTCCAGAGGGAGGGGGCAGCAATGGAAAAGGCTCTGTCGCCCCAGGTACAATGCTTGGTCCTCAGTGGTAGAGACAGGAGGCTGGCATCAGAAGAGTGGAAGCTTCTGGAAGATAATTCTTCAGAGAAATAGCAACTCTCAATATTTTGGAAGGATTTCTCTTACACAACCACACTCAACACGCCACTGCAAGTGCAACTAAAGTTCTGTGTACAAAAGCCAATGGGGAATAATTAATCATTTAATCCTGGCAAAGATGTAGAGAGGAAAGAAACAACAGTACAAGTCAGCAGAATACAGACAGTCCATTCAGGTAACTCAGCTAGATCTGTTGTGTAGGACTAGATGTTGATATCCCTTTATTGCATTCCTGAGATAAGACTCTTAGTAGTGTCTCTTTTTATAGTTTTATCTGATGCCAGATAACACTAGCATGTTCCACACAACTGGAGAAGGCTGAAATGCCTGCTTTCTAGATTGAGGTGTCAATCAAAGGTATCCTGCCAGCCTGTGAGAAACCACGCTGAAGAAGACTTTTCACCTGACGTTAAGAAGGCTGATCTGGTGGAATTGGCCAATCTCTGATGAGTCCTTTTCCTTGGGTATAAGGATGCCTCCAGCTCTCCACCAGGACGTTGGCATCTCCTTCTTTTGCCACACAACTCTCGTCAGCTTCCAGAGGAATTTTTTTGTAGAGCCTGTAAGGAACTCCGTTGGGACCTGGAGCTGATGCGGCCCTTGCTCTGTGCACAATTTTCTGTACTTCATTCCATCTGGGCGGGCTGATGTCGAGTTGGTGCTCCGGTGGCTTGAGTGGTGGCATGTCAGGTGGGAGCGTAACCTCTTCGTGGTGCCGTTCATCTGTGCAGGATTTTTCAGATGTTCCTCCAGGTTGGCCTTTGGCACTGAGAGGCTTCCACTCTTCTCCTTTGTGAAGAGACTCTTCACAAATTTAAAGGGATTTTTGTCGAAGCCTGTTCTCTTTTGCTCCTTCCTTCTACATTTCCTCAAAAGGTTTTTAGCTCTCCTCAGTGATGCAAACCTACTCTGGATCTCTCCCTGCAGCAGGTTTATGTCCTCCTTCTCCTCCTCAGTGGCCTTCCTCCATTGCTTCTTCAGCTGCCTTCTCTCTTTGACGATCTATTTCTGTCTGCCTTCTGGACTTGATAGAGATTGACGGAGTAGATCGCTTGCCTTAGAGCACTCCGAACATTTCTACTCCATAGGCGTAGATTAGATCCCCCATTTTCCCCAACTTCTTGATGGTGGTGCCTCTGATCCCTTCTAGGATGTTGCAGAGATCAGTGTTGACCTCCTTCCACAGTGTCTTATCACAGGATTTTGGCCATTTGACTAATGGCATTTGCCCCTGGATCTTCTTCTATGTTGCAGGTCATGATGGGTTGGGTTCAGGTTGCTCTTCTGTGCCTGGTTCTTCCTCCTGAGGGACAGGGATGTTGATGTCCTGCAGACTTTGGTTTGTGTCCTGCTGCTGAACTTCAGTCGACTGACTCAACCTGCTTCTGAGAAAGTAGCTGTCGATGCGAGTTCCCTGTTGACCCTTCTTCAGGCACCCTTTTATGCCTTGATGTATTTTAAGGCCTTTGGTGGAAGTAACCTTTTCCCAGCCACATATGCAGCTCTGGAGAGTGTGTCCTGCTGTAGCTGTTGGAGCCTCAGGTATGCTGATTGATCATCATTCTCGTAGTCTGTTCCGTTCCTGTATTCGTTCCCGGGTTGTCTGCAGACGAGTCATCTTCCGCCCCCGCTCTCACTGACTCAAGGGGTATATTCCTCTTTGAACTTTTTGGTAGCCATGTGTGGGTGGGACCCGTACACCGTTTGCATTCCTGAGACACTACTAAGACTCTGTGGGATGGTCAAGTGAGTGATGGCATCCTCTGAGTTATCAAGTGGGTGCCCTCCTTCCTAGATGTTTCACTGATAGGCATAAAAGGTAAAAGCTGCACTGAAGCAACAAACACTGGAGAGAGAAACTCCCTCCAGACAGGACAAGACCAAAACATTATAGTCTTTTATTTTATACATTATTATGTAAAAAGAACATCAAAAAACATTAAGGAACAGCTTTGATGCAGGCGTTTTTGTTTCTTAATGCAATGCAAAAGAATTTAATTATCAAGCATTTATGTAATGTGCACTGTATGATCTAAACAAAATACAAGTATCAGATTAAGGATCAGCAGATACTTAATATTTAATGACTCGGGGGCTAAAATCTATGATTGCGACATCTACTTTAGATCAAAATATTTCTAAAGACAACATCAGTTTTATTTTTATACATTATATGATTATTTTAAAAATTCAGTAGTCATGGCAGCTGGTTCATTAACTGTTGGTGTTCCAGACCTATTAATTGAGTGAGATTTGTTGATTTGCCCGAAAATTCTGAAAAACGTCTGAAATCAAATCTGAGTGCACTGTCCATTAATGTTACACATGCCAATGTAATTTTTGACACTGGGCTTCCTTTTCATTGACAGACTTAAATTGTACTGTGATGATGATTTCCTCCACTTAAGAACAAAATTCTTATATTTACAAACCCTGAAAAAGGTGATCCATCCTTTAAATCACTCATGTAACTCCAGTAATAAAAGAATAAACAAAAGCCTTCCCACCTCCAGCTGGTAGAAAATGCTGCTACCAGTCTGTTAACCAGGAGGAAGAAAATACAGATCTAAGAGGAGAGGGAGAGATTCAGGGAGGAGCTAAGCTGTTACTGAACTATAGAAGAGAGGAACTTCCATATTCAGCAGAGTTCAATACACAAACCAGAAACATTACCTTTATTCAACATGCTGTCACTGCACACAACTTTCTCTACTATTACTCTACTGTACATCATAACAGGTATGTTGTTTCTGCATGATGATGATGAAATTGAATTACAAAGAGTCTTTTGCAACACGAAATGAAAGAGTTATCTCTTCCTTTAGGTGTCCGCTGTGAAGAACTCACTCCAGTAAAGGATGAAGAGTCCAGTTTAGAAGACAGCACTGTTACTCTGTCCTACACATACTCTAAACTGAAAACTAATGATTATTTCTTCTGGTATCGACAATATCCAGGAAAACCACCAGAGTTCCTCATCTCACACTCTGCTTCGGGAAATGTAGGACAGGAACAAATCCCTGGACTGAAGATTAAAGTGGAGCAAAACCAAATAGATATGAACATCTCCTCTGCTGCAGTGACAGACTCTGCTGTGTACTACTGTGCTGTGAGGCCCACAGTGACAGGAAACACCAAAACTCTGTACAAAAACCTGACAGCTCCTCACTGAAGATTTACACACTCCATCTTCTGCTTTTACTGAACAACAGCCCCATCAAGTGGACACTGATAATAAGATCCAGTGATAAAATAAATAGTTATTCAGTTAACAGTCTGTCTTAAAACAACATTCACATGTTCATATGTACATTAAAACATGATTCTTTCTGTAATCATTCCTCCTGTTCATACTGGTCTTTAAAATATATTTTCCTGATGTCAATTCCATCCTAGTGATGGGGGACAAACTCCATAGTCCTCGTTCTGTACAGAAATATATTCCAAAGTTCAGTTCAAGGTAATATGATGATTCAGCAGTCTGAGTTACACAAAAAAGATACCATCTAAATCTTTTTGTGCAGAGGCAATTTTATGTTAAAAGTCTTAAACTTTAGAAGAAACCCACTGGATCTCACTGTTGAAGTCTCATATTAACTTCAACTGTGTTATCAGTTGAGGGGAATCCATCATCCTCTGTGAACGAATGAATATCTGGATAAAAGTTCATGACAATCCATTCAGTAGTTTCTGAGATATTTCACTGCTGAATATAAATGAGATGTAAATGTTGAGAGTTCCTCAACAGATGATAAAGAGGAAGGACCAATGATGTGAAGGCCCAGATCCATCAGAGTATCAATGTTCTTCCCTCTCTCTCCTCCCCCTCTCACTGCAGACATGAAACACTGGCTGAGAAACATCCTGATTCTGACTCTCTGGCTAGGTAACTCTTTAAACCTACTGATTGTTCTCCTTTAATCAATCATCTTTATTGATTCATCTCTTCCTCTGCATGTTCTCTTCTTCCCCAGAGTGTAAAGGAGAAGACAGAGTGAACCAGCCACCAGAAGATGTCATTGCTACTGAAGGAGAGACAGTTACACTTGGATGTACATTTGAGACCAGTGTTTCCACAACTGCATATTTGTTCTGGTACAAACAGGATGGAAACAACAGCCCCAAATTCATACTGAGCCGCATTCAACGAGATGAAGGGAACACAGCAGAGAAGTTCAAGGAGAGATTTTCATCCACACTGAATTCCACCTTAAAATCAGTTCCTCTGAAGATCCAGAAGCTTCAGCTGTCTGACTCTGCTGTGTACTACTGTGCTCTGCAGCCCACAGTGACAGGAAACACCAAAACTCTGTACAAAAACCTTTGGAGCAAAGACAACAGAATACTCCACAACATCCACTAGAGGGAGTCACACACTGTTAAACTTCAGTGGTATGGGATTGAATGGCTGGTTCATGTAAAGGATAATGTCTGACTATGTGTCTACTATCAGGAATTAATTGACCATGTGGGTGTGGGGCCGTTGCCCTCACAATGTCCATTCATTCTGTAAAATGGACACCTCAAACTGCATGAATCCACTTATACCATGGTCACTTTCCAATGAAGAAAAATAATCTGTATTTTATATTTTCATGTTTGGATTCTTATGCTGTCTCGTGAACGCGGAACCCGAGTTGTTCTGCCGCGAGAACGTGACGTCATTGCCTGGCTTGTACCACTTACAGCGTTCCATTTGTCTTTGGGCATTACGAGTCAGAAAGAAGTGCAGCAGCTGTGTGGTTATTGTTTGTGGATCATCTAAACAAGCTCAATGTGAAATAATAATACGTTTTTCTACATAAACAGTAACATTTCAAGTAATTCCGTTATTGCAAGTCTTACATTTCAATAATATTTTGCCATTTTCGCCTATTTCAATTTCAACAAGTGCTGTGGCGTTTCTGGCGGGCTAGTGTTATTGTTAGCTACATTAGCCTATTTAGCAAACCAGCTCGAAAACAAAACTTCACATTGTATTGAACTCACAGCAACACTGTGCAATGCATAAATTGGTGACCGGACTAAAGCAGCAATGTAAACAGTTTGTAGGAGCATTTAAAATCGACATTAAAACGACCAACGTAGTACAAATACAAAGAAAATACATCTCAATATGGGCGCTGCCATCTTTGTTTTGCGGGTCGTACGTGACCCCCCGTCCAGCTCGGGGTACCCTGAGGAACCCTGAGGAACCCTGAGGAACCCCGAGCTGGACGAAATTCCGACCAAAAGGGGGCGTGTCTCGGTGAAATCTCGCGAGATAGCGGCGAGATTTACACTTTCCAACTCGGATTCCGAGTTCACGAGACAAATGGAAAGCAGCAAAAGTCTAAATTATTTTACAAGCCCTAGTGTTTCCCTGGTAAAAGCTGAGGGTTTGACTAATACCTGGAAGAATCATTACCAACCTATAAGGTTCTGATGCAACAAAAACAATGTTCACTACTCCAGTAAATAGGACGAACCATAGATACAACTTGGAAACTGAAGATATTTCTAGTTCCCTCTACTCAGAGAGCGCTTTGGCTCAGCTATGAGACAGAGAGCTGACATTATGATAGCAAGATTCTCAGTAACATTGTGTACGGTCAACAAACATTGAATTTAACATGACAGTATGTTTAAACACAAGCCTAGCTAGCTATCAGCCATGTCATTGTCCCCAAATCAAATCAAGATTTTCACCAACAAGAGGTCCTGTGGACTGACGGTTGCAGTCTGAAGTAGTGAGCTGAATAGCATATGGGATGTGGGAGGATCACTAATATAAAGTATCAATAAGTTCAGAGGGGCAGTTAAGTGTCCTACATCAGGAATTAATGGACATCCAGCAGCCAATCAGAATCCAGTATTCACTCCGACCATGGTATAAAACATGTGAAGAGCTGGTGTTTCAGATCATCGTACAATTGAGTTTATCTAGATTTTAATTTCCCACAAAATCCTGTAAAGCAGGTGAGAGCAAATATGCTGTCTGTTGATGTTAAACTCAGCATTCATAGTCTGGGTATAATGTTTGACACTTATCTTTCATTATCAGCTGACTTAAAGCATACAAAATGTATTTCTGAATATGAAAGAAGCAAACAATCTTCCTCTTTGGAGCTGAAAATCAACATTGTAGGTGATTTATTTTCAATTCAATTCAAGTTATGTGTCATGTGAATAACACTGTTTGAGTGTTTAATAAGTAATGGATGTGTGTCTACTGTAATTGAAGAGTAGTTTATCATCTGATTAAAGTAACAAGGACATTTTATTCTTTGTAGACTCTGTTGGCGCCTGTGGACAAAAGCAGTAGAGTTTCATTGAAATGATTTTAATTGAAATCTGATTTAATCTGACCCAGTGGCAGGAATTAACAATTTTACATGTAGAATGAATCAATCTAATCACTGCAGGTCTTGTATGCTTATGTTCATCATATAGATATGTCAGTCTTAAATATGGACTGTTTTATAACCAGTTAAAAGTTAATTATAGTAGGTTTAAAGATTGAACTCAGTCAGGACCTTCACGTGCTGTAAAGTGTCAATCAGTGTGACCTTATCAGCTACTTGTTACCTGATGGAAATGATGGCATTTAGTGAATAACAGCAGCACAGCAGTGACAAACACACTATTTGTCAGAGTTGTGAGAGGAAGGAGGGAGGGATTAAGGGAGGAGCAAAACTGAGACTCAAGTACAGAAAAGACAGAAACTTTCACAGTGGTGTTTCATCCAAAAAACAGACAGATTGTCTTTATCTTTAAGATGCTGTCAGTGAACTTCAGTCTGTTTGTGACTTTGTTTCTGCTCACAATAAGAGGTAGGTGAGATCATTAACATTAAAAGAGCTTCATTGATAAAAACCTTTAGATCATAAAGTTACAGAGTTATCTCTTCCTTTAGGTCAGCTGTGAAGAACTCACTGCAGTCAAGAAACAAGAGTCCAGTTTAGAAGACAGCACTGTTACTCTGTCCTACACATACTCCAGAAAAGCAACTGGTCAAGATCAATTTTACTGGTATCGACAATATCCAGGAAAACCACCAGAGTTCCTCATCTCTCACTCAGGAACATTAATGTCTAACCCAGTCTCTAGACTGTCAGTTACAGTGAGTGAGGATAAAACCCAAATGGATCTGCAGATCTCCTCTGCTGCAGTGACAGACTCTGCTCTGTACTACTGTGCTGTGAGGCCCACAGTGACAGCAAATTCAATTCAATTTTCAATTCAATTTTATTTGTATAGCGCCAATTCATAACAGAAGTTATCTCAGGACACTTTTCAAATAGAGCAGGTCTAGACCGAACTCTTTAACATTAATTACAGAGACCCAACAGTACCACCATGAGCAAGCACTTGGCGACAAGGGCAAGGAAAAACTGCCTGTTAAAAGGCAGAAACCTAGGACAGATCCTCCGGCTCTAGGTGGGTGGTCGTCTGTCTCGACCAGTTGGGGTGAGAGAGAGAGAGAGAGAGAGAGAGAGAGAGAGAGAGAGAGAGAGAGAGAGCGACAGACAGACAGACAGGTGCACAGCAACAACAGTATTGGCAATGGCAGTCAAGCAGGACCATGGCAGGAGGCTCCACCAGGATCCATGAGAACCTGCGAGACGAAAGCACAAGAACTCCGGGGGAAGAAGTGGAGTTAGTAACATGCATTAAAGGGACATGAATGAGTGCAGAAAGAGAGAGGAAGAGAGGAGCTCAGTGCACCATGGGAAATCCCCCGATAGCCTAGGCCTATAGCAGCATAACTAAGGGATGGTTCAGGACTCACCTGATCCAGCCCTAACTATAAGCTTTATCAAAGAGGAATGTCTTAAGCCTACTCTTGAATGTGGTGAGGGTGTCTGCCTCCCGAACCACAACTGGAAGCTGGTTCCACAGGAGAGGAGCTTGGTAACTGAAGGCTCTGGCTCCTGTTCTACTTTTAGAGACTATAGGAACCACAAGTAGCCCAGCATTCAGAGAACGTAGTGTTCTAGAGGGGTAATAGGGTACTATGAGCTCTTTAAGATATGAAGGGGCCTGACCATGAAGAGCTTTATAGGTGAGGAGGAGTATTTTAAATTCAATTCTACATTTTATAGGGAGCCAATGCAGAGTAGCTAGTACAGGAGAGATGTGATCTCTTTTTCTAGTTCCTGTCAGTACTCGTGCTGCAGCGTTCTGAATTAATTGGAGCGTTTTAATGGACTTATTGGGGCAACCTGATAATAAAGAGTTGCAGTAATCCAGCCTTGAAGTAACAAATGCATGGATTAGTTTTTCTGCATCTGTCTGTGATAGTATGTGTCTAATTTTTCTAATATTACGTAAATGAAAGAAGGCAGTCCTAGAGGTCTGCTTTATGTGGGGAGTTAAATGACAAATCCTGATCAAAGATAACTCCAAGATTCCTGACAGTGGTGCTAGAGGCCAAGTTAATGCCATCTAGAGTGACTATATCTTTAGACAATGAGTCTCTAAGGTTTTTGGGGCCAAGAACAAGAATTTCGGTTTTTTCTGAGTTTAACATCAGAAAATTGCAGGTCATCCAGGATTTGATGTCCTCAAGACATGCTTGTAATTTAGATAATTGATTAATTTCATTGGGTTTGATTGATAGATATAACTGCGTATCATCTGCATAACAGTGAAAGTTAATGGAGTGATTCCTAATAATGTTGCCTAAAGGGAGCATATATAAAGTAAATAGTATTGGTCCAAGTACAGAACCTTGTGGAACTCCATGACTAACTTTAGTATCTATGGAGGATTCATCGTTAACATGTACAAACTGAGAACGATCTGATAAGTATGACTTAAACCAGGTTAGGGCAGTTCCTTTAATGCCAATTTGATGCTCAAGTCTCTGTAAAAGAATATCATGGTCAATGGTGTCAAATGCAGCACTAAGATCTAATAATACAAGTACAGAGACAAGTCCATTGTCAGAAGCAGTCAGAAGGTCATTATTAACTTTAACCAGAGCTGTCTCTGTGCTATGATGAACTCTAAATCCTGACTGAAAATCCTCAAATAAAGTATTGTTATGTAGAAAGTCACACAACTCTTTGGCGACTACTTTCTCCAGAATCTTAGAGAGGAACGGGAGGTTAGAAATCGGTCTATAGTTGGCTAAAACCCCTGGGTCAAGAGTAGACTTTTTAAGAAGGGGTTTAATTACAGCTACTTTGAAGGACTGTGGTACATATCCTGATAATAAAGAAAAAAAAAGAAAGCAAACCCACAGTCTCTGTACAAAAACACAAGCTGACACACTGACAAGCTGCTGGAAGCCTTTTTTCCACACTGTTGGACTCCAACTTTTTAGCTCCACTAGAGGGCGACATTATCAAGTAGGCGGTGCACTACTTCTGCACTGTGTTCAACCATTCTGTCAATAATAACTGCTGCTGTGAAGAGAACAATTGTCACACTGAATGTTGAACATCAGCTAGTTTCTCCTGTTGATTTAAACCTTGTTGTAGAGATGGAACATTGGCTGTGGATTATTCTTGCTGCTCTTTTCTTTGGTAAGATAGAAAGCACAACATGTTTTTATTCTTTTCTAAAGATTGATGGAAACTGGAGTTCAGAGCAGAAATCTCTCAACAGTTGAGCTGTTTCTGTCCACAGAGTAACACTGTACACTTGATATTTTCCACTGTCTTCTCCTCTCAGCCTCATGAACAATGTTAGTCTAATGGCTTCATTTTCTCCACTTTTTCCAGGACTAATAGCTGGAGACACAATCTCTCCTGTAGAAGATAAAGTCAGTGGAAGAGAAGGAGAATCTGTCATACTCAAATGTCGATATCAGACAGATTACAGCTATATTAGGCTTTACTGGTACAGACATTCTGACCTTCTGACATTCTGAGGGAGTCACACACTGTAGAAAAGGCCCCAAAGTTGGGACATATTATGTTTGTGTGATGTTTTATAGATGTAGTGTTGGTCAGCTCATATAGCCCCCCTGCTGGTTATGTAGTGTAACTGATGGCGCTCGGTCAGAGAGGTGTGTGTGTGGATTAACAGTTAATTAACGTCACGGCAAGTGGTCTGTGCGTGGATGAAAAGTGAATATGTCCGGATATATTGTTGATGTACTGTATTTACGTTGCTGCAGCTATAGATTATTTCATTATTTCTGTTGTTCTGATGGGTAGCTTTCACACTTACCATGTGATCACTGTTTAAGCTAGTTGTCTCTGATCGAGTGTACGTCACGTCACGTGTTGTTATTGTTATTGCTCCGACTCGCTAGTGTAATGTTTACAGTGAGCGTTACGTAAATATTACCATGTGATGTTGTTTATATGTGTGTTAATATGCTAGTAAGTCAGGGAAGTGTGTTTCAGGACTGTGATAGTGGTAATTAGAGGCAAAAGGAGATGTAGTAATTTCAGTACTCCTTTATCATGTTTATTAGTGATTAAGAGCTTTATCCTTTATTTATTTGTGTATTTGTTATTGTTCATTTGATATAGAAAACCACATGACCTCATTGAAAGAGAGTATTAAACACCTGCACTATCCATTACCTGCCTCTTCATTTGGACCCTCTGAAAGTGAATTGGCCTTAAGTTGGTGTTCTGGCCGGCACCCGAGTGTGAACTCAGTGATAGCCCCAGAACTAACGCCAGATACAGTATACTGCCAGTGTCTTCACTACACACACTGTCAAACTACAGTGGTATGTGATAATACGGTCTGACAGGACTGAGATGTAAAGCTTTAGAAATGAAACTCCTGACACTGCATTGGAAATGAAATGTTATCAAGGTAACCAAGGTAACACTAAAATAGAAAGGATTATACCTTTCAGATATAATAATCTATATATATCTGAATGAAGTAGTGAAGCAGTAAAGATACAGCACAAAATAAGGGAAATGTTATACATAGTCACACAAACATGTGTGTAACATTTCATAAAATTGTATCCAAATTATTGTTACATAGGTAAGTGCTGTAGATACAGGTCATAGGTCTGTACTCTCTATTTGTTTCATATAATACTAACAATCATGATATTAATTACTTAATTTTATTATCAGCAGGCTGAGGGCAGCAGACGCCAACAAGATCAGCAGGATCACCAGGAAGGCTGGCTCCATCCTGGGGCTCCAACTGGACTCTTTGGTGGTGGTGTCTGAGAGGAGGATGCTGTGTAAACTGCACAGTATCCTGGACAACAACAATCACCCTCTCCACCAGGTGATAACCTCGAGCAGAAGCACCTTCAGCAACAGACTCATTCCCCCCCGGTGTAACACTGAACGCCAGAGGAAGTCTTTTCTTCCTGTGGCCATCAGACTGTATAACTCATCTACCTCCGGTCGTGAACAATGTCACTTTGTCACTTTATCATTTTTACCCATCATATCACTTTGTCACTTTATCTTGTGTGTACTATGCTGATACAATTGTATCACTTTATCACTGTTTATCACTTTAAACAACCCCTCACTATATTTAGTTGTACTTATTTTATTTAAATGTATGCGGCTAACTGCACAGTGTGTATTGTTGCATATCATATATACCTACATTAACTGTCATTTTTGTGGCATTGTTGCATTTAGTTACTTGTTTTATTTTCTTACTCTTGTATTACTTGTATTATTTCTATTCAACTATTGCCATTACCAATCTCTCCCCCCCCCCAACTGGTCGAGACAGACGACCACCCACCTAGAGCCGAAGGATCTGTCCTAGGTTTCTGCCTTTTAACAGGCAGTTTTTCCTTGCCCTTGTCGCCAAGGTCTTGCTCATGGTGGTACTGTTGGGTCTCTGTAAATAATGGCAGATACAGGACAGAGGCCATGTTTAACAATTATGACCTCTCTCATTTTTATTATCTTGCTTTTTCTCTCAGGTCTTGCAGGTTGATCAGTAATTGAGTGGTTTGAGTTCATGACTCAAGATGATGCACTCGGTGCTTGGTCAAAGGAAAACTTTCTGAGCTAGTTTGACATTAGGTCTACTTATTATACAATATATTATTATTATTACCATATTATTATGTGTAAAGTGTTGCTGTTTCAGACCTTTATGCAACTGAATTTTGCTAAGCTTTCCGTTGAAATTAACCAACAGTACAGTATTAGTCTGGGTATAATATTGTACACTGAGCTTCCCTTTCATCATCAGCTGACTAAAGTTGTACATTGATGAAATAATGTTTCCTTTTTTCTTTTCTTTGAATGTGATAGAAGCCAAACATCTTCCTATAAAAAAATAAACTGATCTATTTTTGTTAAGTACCTGTGATGTAATTTTTCCTCAAATGTGACTCTAATGTAATAATGTTTGTGTAAAGTATTTAATAAGTAATGAATATGGTTGTCATGTGTAAATGAACAGTAGTATATCGTCGGACTAAAAATTTAACTCAGTCAGGACCTTCACGTGCTGTAAAGTGTCAATCAGTGTGACCTTATCAGCTACTTGTTACCTGATGGAAATGATGTCATTAGTGAATAACAGCAGCACAGCAGTGACAAACACACTATTTGTCAGAGTTGTGAGAGGAAGGAGGGAGGGATTAAGGGAGGAGCAAAACTGAGACTCAGTACAGAAAAGACAGAAACTTTCACAGTGGTGTTTCATCCAAAAAACAGACAGATTGTCTTTATCTTTAAGATGCTGTCAGTGAACTTCAGTCTGTTTGTGACTTTGTTTCTGCTCACAATAAGAGGTAGGTGAGATCATTAACATTAAAAGAGATTCATTGATAAAAACCTTTAGATCATAAAGTTACAGAGTTATCTCTTCCTTTAGGTGTCAGCTGTGAAGAACTCACTGCAGTCAAGAAACAAGAGTCCAGTTTAGAAGACAGCACTGTTACTCTGTCCTACAAATACTCCAGAAAAGCAACTACTGAATATTTCTTCTGGTATCGACAATATCCAGGAAAACCACCACAGTTCCTCATCTCTCACTCAGGAACAGGAACATTAATGTCTAACCCAGTCTCTAGACTGTCAGTTACAGTGAGTGAGGATAAAACCCAAATGGATCTGCAGATCTCCTCTGCTGCAGTGACAGACTCTGCTCTGTACTACTGTGCTGTGAGGCCCACAGTGACAGCAAACCCACAGTCTCTGTACAAAAACACAAGCTGACACACTGACAAGCTGCTGGAAGCCTTTTTTCCACACTGTTGGACTCAACTTTTTAGCTCCACTAGAGGGCGACATTATCAAGTAGGCGGTGCACTACTTCTGCACTGTGTTCAACCATTCTGTCAATAATAACTGCTGCTGTGAAGAGAACAATTGTCACACTGAATGTTGAACATCAGCTAGTTTCTCCTGTTGATTTAAACCTTGTTGTAGAGATGGAACATTGGCTGTGGATTATTCTTGCTGCTCTTTTCTTTGGTAAGATAGAAAGCACAACATGTTTTTATTCTTTTCTAAAGATTGATGGAAACTGGAGTTCAGAGCAGAAATCTCTCAACAGTTGAGCTGTTTCTGTCCACAGAGTAACACTGTACACTTGATATTTTCCACTGTCTTCTCCTCTCAGCCTCATGAACAATGTTAGTCTAATGGCTTCATTTTCTCCACTTTTTCCAGGACTAATAGCTGGAGACACAATCTCTCCTGTAGGAGATAAAGTCAGTGGAAGAGAAGGAGAATCTGTCACACTCAAATGTCGATATCAGACAACTGTCAGCAATATTGTCCTTTACTGGTACAGACATTCTGACCTTCAGGCTCCTCAGTTTATACTCTATAAAGGAGCAAAAGGATCTTCAGCTGAATACATTCCAGATAATCGATATGAATCTAAAACAACAGATTCATCAACTGAACTGACCATCAGAAAACTAACCCTGGCAGACACAGCTCTCTACTACTGTGCTCTAGAAACACAGTGATACAAAGTGTAGAAGAGGCTGTACAAAAACCTGAACACAGATATCTGACTACTCTTCAAAGAGGAGGGAAGTGGTATTCAAACCACAGCTTCATATCAGATGGATTCTGCTAATTCCTGTTTTATCAGAGTCACTGTGGTTACAGCTGCTAATGAAACACTGTGGGAGGATTCACATGAGCAGCAAATCCACATCAATGACAAACCAACTGGATGATGCTTCAAACACAAGACACCATGGAAACAAATAAATCAACACTGAAAATTAAAATGAGTAATATGTGACATCTGAACAACAACGTGTCTTACATACAAACTTTTAAATAAATAGATCTGTGACCTGAATTGTGTATCTAAAGTGCATTTATCATACATTGTTTTATTCCTATAACATTTCTATTTGTTTCCCAACATTTACCAGGTCAGACTGGGTCCGGTATTTTATAGCTCAAATATTCAGTCATATACTGAGCATACTGAGCTGATCTGTTACCAGCTGGACTGGGTACAGTCTGAATATTTCTCAGCAGAAGTCCACCTTTACAGTTTCTGGTCTTTAACATTTTTATTCAGTTTTGTTTTCCATCTGATTGAACTGCAGTAAATGATGGACTGTTTGTTGATTTGTAATCATATAAGACAGGGCTGTGAATGAGGCCTGTCAGTGTGATCAGGCTCCTCCTTCTAATCCACCAACTTAGTGTTGATGAAGACTAAACAGAGAGATCACAGCCTTCTTTCTACTTGCTGTAGCTCACAGTTACTCAACACTGCAGATATGACGCAGCCTCTGTTCATCTCAGTGTTGCTGGCTGCTCTGTGCCTTGGTATGAACACAACTCTGTTTCTGTGATATCAATCCAACATTGACATGATTCTTTAACAGCACACTGATCCTGTTTGTTGCTGTTTTACAGAATGCAGAGCACAAAGAGACAACGTGCTGCAACCAAAAGGAGATGTGACTGCGACTGAAGGAGAGGAAGTAACACTTGACTGTCAATATAACAGCAGTTCATCAAATGATTATCTCTTCTGGTACAAACAGGATGGAAACAACAGCCCCAAATTCATACTGATGCGTTATAAAGGGGATGAAGGGAACATAGCAGACGAATTTAAGAAAAGATTTTCATCCACACTGGATTCAACCTCAAGATCAGTTCCTCTGAAGATCCAGAAGCTTCAGCTGTCTGACTCTGCTGTGTACTACTGTGCTCTGCGGCCCACAGTGACAGGAAACACCAAAACTCTGTACAAAAACCTTTGGAGCAAAGACAACAGAATACTCCACAACATCCACTAGAGGGAGTCACACACTGTTTTTGAGGGATATTATTTATGTCAACAATAACTTATCATAATTGAATGTAACAGCAAATGCTGATGTGACATTAAAAATTGCAGGTTAACTATCATATTGAGCTCCTTAATTAAACATTAAAACATAAAACTTTCCAAATGTAAAAAATTCAAAATAATTTCACACACAAATAAGAATGAATAAGATTGTGTACTATATTCTAGTCTTTCTGCTTAAAACAATCAATAAATGCTTGAAAAGCTTAGCTAACAAGTCGGTATAATCACTGATTACTTTAATTAAAACAACATGTTTCTTTGCATGTTGACCGTATTGCTCAGTGACTGTCTGGATGAAACAGAGCAATGTTAATCTGATATCTAATCAGTTTACCAATTTCTCCCACTTGCATGACTGATGTTGGTCCTAGAAGGGTGTAAGGAAGATGTCTAATTCAATTCAATTCAATTTTATTTGTATAGTACTAAATCATAACTGAGGTTATCTCAGGACACTTTTCCAAATAGAGCAGGTCTAGACCGTACTCCTTATATAAGATATCAATTATATTATTTTAATATTATAATAATATTTATTATTATAAATAACAATTATCAGTATTGGACTTTCAAATGAGAATTGGGGTTTTAAACACACAGTTTCTCTCTCAAACCGCTCCTCTTCCTGGAATGAATCCAAGCTCGATTACACGTCCCTCTTCTTCCTGCTCTCAAACACAATAAGCCCCACTCTGTTCACATATTTCCTTGTTCCCTCCCCTTTAGAGCTACAGTTAGAGGATGGGTGTAACTAACATGTGGTGCAGCGTGAGAGCTGGCAGGCCCCCATTCGCTGCAGAAACACATGCTGTTTAGATCAGAGCTCAAACTAGTTTCAGTTCTAAGAAAGTGAAACTCAGGCAGCCGTTGCTACTGAGAGGTGAAATGGCACAGAAAGGAGATCAGCTGGACCAGAAAACCTTCTGTTGTTCGATCTGTCTGGATCTATTAAAAGATCCGGTAACTACTCCCTGTCAACACAGTTACTGCATGAACTGTATTACAAGCTTCTGGGATGAAGCAGATGAGAAGAAAATCTACAGCTGCCCTCAGTGTAGGCAGACGTTCACACTGAGACCTGTCCTGAAGAAAAACACATTGTTAGCGGATTTAGTGGAGGAACTGAGAAGACTGGACTCCAAGCTGCTCCTGCTGATCTCTGCTATGCTGGACCTGAAGATGTGTCCTGTGATTTCTGCACTGGGGAGAAAACTGAAAGCCCTCAAGTCCTGTCTGGTCTGTCTGGTTTCTTACTGTGAGAAACACCTCCAGCCTCATTATGATGTGACTCCATTAAAGAAACACGAAGCTGGTGGACCCCTCCAAGAAGCTCCAGGAGAACATGTCATGATGAGGTGATGAAGATGTTCTGCCGTACTGATCAGCAGTGTATCTGTTATCTCTGCTCCATGGATGAACATAAAGGCCACGACACAGTCTCAGCTGCAGCAGAAAGGGACTGAGAGGCAGAGAGAGAGCTCGAGGTGAGTCGACAAAACATCCAGCAGAGAATCCAGGACAGAGAGAAAGATGTGAAGGAGCTTCAACGGGAGGTGGAGGCTATCAATCGCTCTGCTGATAAAGCAGTGGAGGACAGTGAGAAGATCTTCACTCAGCTGATCCGTCTCATGGAGAAAAGAAGCTCCGATGTGAAGCAGCAGGTCAGATCCCAGCAGGAAACTGAAGTGAGTCGAGTCAAAGAGCTTCAGGAGAAGCTGGAGCAGGAGATCACTGAGCTGAAGAGGAAAGACGCTGAGATGAAGAAGCTGTCACACACAGAGGACCACAACCAGTTTCTACACAACTACCCCTCACTGTCAGCACTCAGTGGATCTACATCCAGCATCAATATCCGGGTCCTCTGAGGTACTTTGAGGATGTGACAGCGGCTGTTTCAGAGCTCAGTGATAAACTACAGGACGTTCTGAGGAGAGAAATGGACAAACGTCTCACTGACAGTGACTGAAGTGGATGTTTTACTGCCACAGCCAGAGCCCAAGACCAGAGCTGGATTCTTACAATATTCATGTGAACTCACACTGGATCCATACACAGCACACAGATGTCTGTTATTATCTGAGGGAACAGAAAAGCAACAGTCATGGGCCAACAACAGTCTTATTTTAGTGACCCAGACAGATTCACTTATTGGTTTCAGGTCCTGAGTAAGAGAGTCTAACTGGACGTTGTTACTGGGAGGTGGAGTGGACAGGGAAGGAGGTTATGTAGCAGTCGCATACAAGAATATCAGCAGAACCAAGAAGTGGAGTGGATTTGGACAAAATAACAAATCTTGAGGCGTTTGCATGTGACAAAAACAGTAAAAGCTTTTGGTACAACAATGTCCCAACTTCCATCTCAGGTCCTCAGTCCTCCAGAGTTGGAGTGTACCTGGATCACAGTGCAGGTATTCTTTCCTTCAACAGCATCTCTAAAACCATGACTCTCCTCCACAGAGTCCAGACCACATTCACTCAACCTCTCTATGCTGGGTTTTGGCTTTTCAATTATGGAGTCTCTGCTGAGTTCTGTTAACTCCAATTAGGCAGAAGTAATTTAGGAGTTCAGTTCTGAGTTTTAAGTCTGAAACATATGTTCTCTTCCTCTTTGTTGCTGAGAGCTGATTGTTGTAGTATTTCTTTACTGCATAGAGATCACCTGTCAATCAAACATTATGGGCGGTACTTTCACATCTTCTCATTTGTTGTTCTGTGAATGTTTAGATGGCGGTCCTTCCTGTGTCTGTTTAGCCATGGAGGCTCCAACTGCCCATAACAACTTTTCTTTAACTGAACTCACATTTTTCTGATTTAAAATGTAAACTTCTCTGTGCTCTAAATGTTTATTGAATATTTGTATTCATGTATTTCTATGGTGTTTCTCTTCCACTGCATGAGTGAGAGAAAGCACAAGACCTTCCTTTATCGTAGATATTTTGTACATTTGTAAACAAAAACACAACAAAAAAGGAGATTTTATTACATTTTCATTTATTTCTTTGGCAGACCAAATGTTTTTACAAATACTACAAACAAGCTGATGGCACTGATTATTTCTTCTGGTATCGACAATATCCAGGAAAACCACCAGAGTTCCTCATCTTTCACTTTGGACACACAAAATGCAACAACCTCTAGACTGTCAGTTACAGTGAGTGAGGATAAAACCCAAATGGATCTGCAGATCTCCTCTGCTGCAGTGACAGACTCTGCTCTGTACTACTGTGCTGTGAG